ACACACACACACACACACACACACACACACACACACACACACACACACACACACACACACATACCAGCACAGAGGGTGCCGTCTGATTGCCAGGGCATGCAGTGCTACACAGTGAGACTCTATCCCGGCTGCTGTTGAGGCAATACAGTGTCCAGTCACCTCGAGCAAGCGTTGATTAATGACCTGAGTGCAGCAGCACTTCTCTTGATGGAAATCCTTCTTTACAGTAGTTTGTATGAAAATGATTTCTCTGTGTATTCCATTTGCTGCTTTTGATTGCTGCTTCAAACACCTGCGCGCAGGAGCCGCCTTTTCTTTTGCTTAGATCTACTCTTTTGCACAGGCACACTTTTAAACCTGCAGGGTTGTATTAACCTAGATTTTATGTGTGCTGTTGGATCTGCTTCTCAACCTTGAGACGACACAAGAAACAATCTGAAAGGTGTCGGATGTAACAATTTGCCTTTTCAAGTAATGGAAAAAACAGCAGGTTTCAGTATCAGAACAAATAAGAGGCAGATATTGTAGAAATATGTTGTCAGGGATATTTTTTATTTTATTTTATAAAGATATATATAGGATTTATATGCATTTCCTTGACAGACTGTGTTTTGTTCTTACAAACCCCAGTCTCTATTATCTCTTTCCTTCACTCCTTCATTCTGTGGACACCTTATGTTTAGCCTATACTGCAGTGACCCTCATATACGTCCCATTTCCTCTATGGAAATCTTACTCTCCATTTATACTACCTCGACCCTGTGCTATAAAGGGTGCAGCTCCCATCTGGTTTATAGAAACTGCTCGCAGCGGAGCTCACCTCAGAGAAAAAGGTTCCAACAATATATCCCTTTATCCTACTCAGGTCTGTAGCTGAACAAATTGCGGGAAAGACCACTGAGCTCATGTCGGATCACTGGTCATACAATCATGATGGCAAAAAAAGTGACTTTGACATTACCAGTAGCATTAAGTAAAGCCTCACAGAATCAGTGGACTGTGCAAAAGGGCATTACGAATCACCACGACCTGCTGGTTCTGCCAGCATACACTGAAACATGAGTATGAACCCTATCCAGTGCACTGTGAGAGTTTCTGAATGGGAGTGCTAATGAAAATTGGCTAAAGGGTTGCTGTAGACGAATCTGACAAGTGTCCAGAAATAGCCCGCTAATAAATCCAGTGTCCCCGGAGGAAAACCTGAGCTATAATCCAGTCCTGTAAAATGTCTAAGGCCAACTCTGTGACAACGGGCAGAGAGCAAGACAGAAAGAAATGATTTTGTCTATATAAGGAATTGCCTCTTGCTCTCAGAGAAAGTCATCTTTCAATAGCGATCGGTTGGCATTATAAACTTTGGGCTTTTTTTATGAGAGCACATAAATGCAAAAATCTAGCTATGATGTCAGTGTGCTATTTTAACATCTATTTATGTAATAATCTAAGCATAGTTCTCATGTGACACAAGCTCTACTTTGGGAATAAATATGTTAAACATGTCTTTCTTGGCTTGTGAAGAAGAAATGTTCTGCCTGTTCTGCTGCATAAATAAATACAGAGTAATGCTGTCAGCTTGCAGTGAAGGAAGTGTTTTTCCAGAGCACTTAATTATAATCAGCGGGGACTTTCTAACTTCTTCTTTCTTGGTCCAGGATTTCCAAATACAGAAGAAACAGCGTGACACACTGTGGGAAAATAAAGTCACTCGTGTTAGACAACAGCTTACAAATACCTTAAGTGTAAATGACGAATACAAACCGCAGAAGAAGACGGTCGAAAGTCATCTGCAGATGCATACCAGGCATTCTTTCTTATTTTTATGCAGACATCTCTGGCACCCCTCATTTCTTTATGTTTTGCTTCCAAGGAGTCAGACTTTTTTGTATTTTTTTAAACTGGTCTGAAGTAATAGTTCTCCAGGCTTTCTGAAGGTCTTTCAAAGTTTTTCTCTCAACGTTTGTGGCTTTCAGTCTCATTTTTAGTCCAGCCATCATACCTGAATCATAGGAATGTTTTTTGAAAAAAAACATCAGTCACTATCAGTCATGGATTGGCCTCCCAGAGACCAAACCCCAACATTACTGAAGCTATGTGCAATCATATAGACAGAAAATGGAACAAAGATTACTGAAGACCACTAAAGGAGTATAAGAAACCTTAAGAGAGTTCAAAGAGAGTTCAGAATAAGGGTGGTCATACTGAATATTGACTTTGATGCTTCTTAAAACTGCACGTTTTTTCTGTTTTCTAAGCAAAATCCTAAGAACTAAGGCCGCTCAAGACATTACTGCACTGTTTGCAGTGCCCATTTAAGGCGACATAGCATTTACTGTCTTTATCTCTTCCAGACAGACTTAACTTCTTTTTGACAAGTAGAAAAGCTTGACGGACAGTCTTGAGACAAAAACAAGCTGTGTGGCAACAATATGTGGTCATAAGATAACAAAGAAACATAAATACACTTCCTTTCTTTTTTTTAAATGCATACGCGCGTTTGGTTTGTCGGGTTTGTCTGTTTGTTTCAAAGGAAAGAACCTGTGTAGTGTTTCACAACTGTTTACTGTAAGTGAAAATGATAATAGAGTGCCTGAAGCACATGTTTAATTTCTAACATGTAGTCAAAGAAACATTTTGACACAGTAAACAAATCCACTCAGAAAATGTTGAACCTGCACTTTTATTTAAATTATTATTAAAACTCAAAAGCACTTAACTGTTCAACCCCAGTTTATATCAGTGTGATGGTAATTGAATATTTTTCTTGCATTAATGCCCCCCACTGGGTCAAATTTTCTTGTCTTGTTATCACCATTGATCAACTATTCAGACTTAAATCTAAATCACTCAGAGGCCATTATGTAAGTAAGGTAAACATGCTGGTATGGTAAATATGACTTAACATCTTCTGTTGTTGTTGATAGCTAATCAGCATGTGCTTGTGTTTACCCAGCGGGGTATAAAACAAGACGATTTAGCCTTGAGGCAGTCTATGGAAAGTTCTCAGTAAAGTCCTTAACTTGGGTGATGATCACTTTGATTGTGCACGTGCTTCATTCTGAGTAACTGAAAGTTGGATGGTGATCATATTTTGTTTTAGGGAGATTTTATTACCAAGCATTCCTGGCATCCCGTGTTTGTTCCTAAGTCTTTACTTTAAAAAAAAAATAAGTAAAACTGACAGCCTTACTGAAATGCCATTACAGCATAATTACCATTTGCTACACATAGTGAGAGGTGTAGCGATCTCATAAACGCACAGACAAAAATACACGTTTTCCCACCATTTTCCGCAAGAATCACTAAAAAAAGAATCTCTATCCAAAGTCTACTCAGTGTAGAATTGCTCTCCCTCTAGGCGATGTGACGAAGTACAGAACATACTCTCTACTGCGCTTGTCCCTCGGGTCACTGTGGCCCTGAGAGACACTTTCACATGTCTCAGCTCTCATATCTGAATGGCTCCCGAGGACTTCTGTGTAGTTCAAATGATGAAGGGGGCATTAAGGATCCCCGATGGCACACTACAAAATCAAACTCCATTTCCTACTTGGCCTTAAATCATGGAAAGAAAATGGCAAAGAATGTCTTTGCAGGAAAGAAAGGCAAGGTGGGGGGGATAACTGACATACTCTGAGAACAAAAAGTAAACAAATACAAGCAGTAGCAAAATATGGGTTAATCAAGTGTGGCTCCCCATGTGGGTAGTGCATTTTTTTTGTGTATGTGCACACACA